TTTGGGTTTGGGGTTTAGGGTTCGGGCCCTCTAGAATTAGAGTTGGGCTGCTTTTAAGGGTGGTGTAGGGCCTTACAACGGCTAGGGGCCTGGATAATTCATTAAATAGGATTTCGCTGTGTGTGCTTTATCATATTAGTATAAAGGGGCCTCAGATCCCTCTCTAATGTAGAGGCTTGCAAAGAATTCGAGATTAGGGCTTCAATGGCCACCGTTTCAGAGCTTAAGCTCTAGGCAGGAGGGCAGGGCAGTGCAGGAATCTGACATAACCTAAAACCCCTAAACCCTATAAGCCCACACTCCACTGGTCTCCTCCTGAAAGCGCAAGGCTGTGGCCTGCAACGCGGCATTGACGGCCTCCAGCAAGGAAAGTCGAAAAAAGGCGTAGAGCGCATACACAGTGTACACTCATACCAAGAGCATAGGTGATGGCTTCTGAAGAATGACAGGGGCCGTGAGAAGCGGACGTTCAAGAATCCTGATCCCCATACAAAATTACCCCTAGGCCTTGGCAAACCCCGACTCCAACAAGCTCAGAACGCCCATCGACTCCCTCGACTCCGGCCTGGGTAAGGTAGGCATTCATCTGCTCGAATCCACCCGGTCGCTCCGCTACAAGCCGATCGATCATGTGCTTGTCCTTCCGAGCTTTTTGGATCGTACAAGTAGCGCCATTGAGTGCTCCAGCTCCACAGACCCTGAAACACAAGTACGCAAGAGCAGATCCCCAAACAATGAAAGAGCATCATGATGACCATGAAGACCAGGCCAGGACAACCAGGGCGCAAGTACTGGCGCGATTCAGGAGGCCGGGTTGCTTCTAGGGGGGAAAACCAGCCCTACTCGAGACCTTAATTCCGCAAGGGTCCTCGAGGCAGCTTGCCTGTGCATCCCGGAGGTTCAGGTCGGCGAGCTTCTTACCTTTGCCCCGGAAGGGTTTAGGGTTTAGTTTAGGGCAGTTTAGGGTTTATAATAAGGGTTTAGGGTTTAGGGTTTGAGGGTAAAGGGTTGGGGGCGCTGACACTGTGTGGACCACTTCGGGATGCGCTTCGAGTTTCTCAACTTGTACGCGCAGGATCTCCGTCGGTTTGGGCAGTCGGAAGTCAGCACATGTTGGAAGGAACGACATGAGTACACCCCAAGCCCAAGTGTATATGCAACAAGTACCTTCATGTACCTTCCCAATGAAGGCCACCCTGGCGAAAAAACATCCCTGAACCCAGAACCCTAAACCCTATAGCACCCCAAACCCCAGAACCCTATACCCCTGGAGCCCTCGAAAGCCATGTTGCTTATCACCATTGCCAACTCGATGTTGGTCTGGCCATGGTTCCTCAGCCAGTTTGTAGTGGGGGACCCGTCATGGTGTTTTTAGGGTTTAGGGTTCAGGGGTCGGGAGGTAAGGGTTCAGGAGCTGTAGAGTTCAGGGTTTGAGGGTTTAGGGTTGGAGGGTTTGGGGTCTGAGGGTTTGGCTTCGGAAGTTCAGGACATTGCCAGATTTCTCAGGTGCGATGAATGAAAGCACAAATGCAAAGACAATCGGAATACATACTCAGAAATCCAATGGAAGCAGCTGCTGGACAAAGAGGAAGGCAATGCACCCGTCTGTGTCGGCAGCGACGACGACGGCGATGCATGTCATGTCTGTTACCATGGCAAAGGCTGCGAGATCATGACATCCACAAACATGCTTGTATAACCACCCGCACCGTCACCTGTGTTTAGCCAGCGGCGCATGCACTCAGCAGGTGAAATGAGCAACCGAAAATGAGGATCATCGACGTCGGACTGACGATCACCCCCACGAGCAATGCCAGCAGCGCCAGCACCAGCACACCAGCATGAGGGGCCGCAGCAAGACAAGAAGCAGTCAAACACTACGAGCAACCATCGTCGTCGTAGCAGTAAACTAGCAGTCGTCCTCGTCGCTGTCAAGGACGAGTCGCAGTCGACCCGGACTCTCACAGCATCCCGAAACTCTTATTTATAAATTTCCTGAGCGAAGTCCAGTCCGACTCAATCGAACACCCTCGCAAACGGAACAACAGTCAACTCGGCCAACGCTTGCACAATAATCTCTAAAATCTTTCAGCTGACCAGAAGTGCGACCCAGCATCATGACCCCAGAAGGCGTGCAGATCTGCAGGCCCAGGAAGCGAGAGTCGTTTCGGCTAAGCTCGGCGGTCTGGAGGAGCTCGAACAAACACCACGACCTGGCTATTCGAACCATCTCAACGATATGTCCGCAGATCTAGGGCATCTAGGGTTCAGGGTTTGAGCTTTTCGGGACTTTATTTTACTTCAACTTCGGAGCATCCTGTTTTTTTATACGGTTATTTATGACGGCCGTGTCCCCGTCCCCGATACAACTATTCAACTATTGCGCTGACATGTTGTAGGGAGCTCTTGCTTCCTTGGAGTGTGGCTAACCAGAAGCCACCTTGTCAATGGCAAGGCGTCATTGTCGAAGACCATCACCGTCCCCTGGCAGGTGCCGCTGCGCAAGGCAAGGTAGAAGGATGACTGGTCCCAACTCATGCCAACCTCGGCTGGCAACTCACAGGGCTCAGGATTTAGCGTTCTCCACCCCTTAGGTTGCCATGTTGCAGTAATTGTAGTAATACCATGCTTCGCCCCAAGCAGGAGGCAACAGGCTATTGCCTATATAGACGCTGGCTAGACTAGACTGCCGGGAAACCTCCTCTTCCACGCGCCACTGGTTGTTCGCAAAGGAACACACCCAATAGGATGCGAGCATCCATGAGACTGGGCTAGGATCGGAGAGCGTCTCGGCGTGCTTTCGCACAGTACCCACAAAGTGACAGAAGGGTGTGCCCCAATAGTGGCTTACGAACCTTGGCTGCTCATTGCAACCTCAATCCCTCAAGTGCAACATGTAAATCTATACAAAAATCGCTTTGGATACCCAGAAGCCCCTAAGTAGTTCCTTTTTGTGGCTCATATTTAGAATCCTATAAGGTAATCCCCACAAGGAACTACATAGGGGCCTTATGGGTAGTCCTCTGCCCCAATCAGCCAAGGGGCCATTGCAGGCAGCAAGATCCCGCCAGCTCGGCGTAGGAGACCTTTCGAGGTCGCGTCAACGGCTTCACCACATTGGAGACCACATAGTACATATTCCGGCTGCAGATGTAGGACCTTAAGAGCTAGAAGATGCTACAGAAGTATACCAGATTTTTAACAGATTTAACAGACAAAACTCCGGGCCGAGGCGCTGCCAGAAGATGAAGAAATCCCAAAGCTGCCCGGCAGTGATGGCACGGGAATGGCCCCTTGGGCACAGGCCCTGGGGGTTGTGCCGGAGGTCCTGGAGCTGGCCTTCGAAGCTGTGGAGGTCCCGCTGCAAGTCGCTCTGGTTAAGGGCCCTCTTCCTCCAGCAGAGAGTGGCCAAGGCGGCCAAGGCTCCCAGCAGCATCATGAGAAGCTCCAGGTAGGTGGCGTAAAACCCGGGGCTCTCTTGCCACACATTGGCCATGTAGAGAACACCTGCGAGACAACCGCCGAAGAATTGCAGCCAGCAGAAGAACGGGACTCCGAACATACCGGTCATGCGGATGGAGTGGCATGCAAGGAAATGCACCGAACCACAGGATGTGTCCGCACCTGTGAAGATGGGGGCGCCCTGCTTGTCACATAGCAGCAGCTGCCTCTCACTCAGAGACCTCACCGCATAGCTTCCCTGGTCCAACCAGGGAACTTCGGTTTTTTGGAAGGAGACCATGGCAAGACGATTGGCAAGCAGCCAATGCCTCCCTGTGGTTGATATGGTGACCCCTGCTTGTTGCAACCGCATGTCGGACACTGGTATTGTATGGCAAAACATCATGGGCAACGGAAGGAACAGAAGAATGGAGCACAGCATGACGCCGATGGCCACAGGGACATTGATGGTAGCGAAGTCACAGGAGATGCGCGCGACATCCACGACAGAGCGGAAATGCAAACTGCGACACGCTGAGCAGGAGGCGCTCCCCCAGTCCGAAGAGAAGTGTCCGGCATCACAGATCTGACACCTGTTGCTGTTGCCGCTTTGTGCCTTGAACCAGCCTGGAAAGCAGGGCTGACAAGTGAAGAGCTCTTCCAGGTGGTACTCCTGCCCCGCTGGACATTCGCCGTTCTCACAGCCCTCTCCCTCGAAGGGCTCGTTGCAAGTACATGATCCGTTGCCTGTCACGGCCGAAAGCTGCAGGCGACTGCGCTCTGGGAATTCTCTGAGTGCGGCCGCGTCATCCCTGCAGTAGCCCCTCCGGGAGCAGACGAAGCCGTCCTCCCCGCCGGGGCACGCCAGACATTCCCGGGACAAAGAGGCATCCGGGGGCCCGGAGAAGTGGTCCTCGCCACATCCGGAGCAATCCTTCAGGTCGTAGCGCAAGATGCAGGAACAGGTGTCGGTCTTACCCTTTGTGAAGCCGCGGGAGAGGCACCAATCGTGCCAGTTGCAATAGCCCCTGTTGAAGACCAACACCCCAGAGACGCCACCGGTGTGAACACCAGCCAGCAGGTCAGTGTCGCCGTCCTGGTCCCAGTCCACGGCATATGGCATCACAGCGAAGCGCGCCCGGACTCCCGCCAAAGGGTTTGAGGACCCGGTGAGTTCTGTGAAGGACTGGTTTGCCAAGTGCTTGAAGAAGCGCACACGCCCACGGCTGGTTCCGATCAGAAGATCCAGCGATCCGTCTCCGTCAAAGTCTGTGACCTCCAGTGCCTGGGACATCTTACAGGCATGATTCAGCAAAAACGATCTCCCTGCTTTCTTCACAAGCTATTTATTGTGTCTGGGTAGACGCATCTGTGTCACTATGTCTGCTTGGACGTCCGTTGTCGTGCCAATACGAGTTAAATAAGCTTGGATCCGAGGGGAGAGGAACTGATTGCCTTTGGCCTCTACAGCAAAGTCCAACATGGACCCAGGTGCACCGGGACCAACCTCCAAGCCGTTGAAGGGGCTCTCAACGCCAAGGTGTTCGTGCAGCGACCCATCCGCCAAACGTTCGAAGTAGCGAACCTGACCAGCAGCACCTGCGACGAGGAGATCGAGATCACCATCAGAGTCCCAATCCACAGCTCTTGGCACCACCACCATCTCACCATCCGGAAGAACGACGCTGAAAGGATTTTCTGGCCCCCTTCGCTCCTCCAGTCTGCCATCCTCCATACGCTCAAAGTATCGCACTGAGCCATCGTATTCCCCATCCGCTGAGTGGAAGCCCGACAAGAGGAGATCTGTGTCACCGTCCCCATCCCAGTCCGCAGCGCGTGGAACAGCGATTAGATCCACCGAGATACCGTCGAAGGGATTTGCGGACCCAACGCGCTGTTGCAGTCCTGTAGCAACAGTATCCAACGCCCTATGCGCCTCAACCTGCATGTACAAGCACTGCACCACAATCTCGGGTCCTTGAGGTGTTTGCTCGTAATAGGCAACCGTGCCATTACTACATCCCACCAGCAGATCAGTATCACCATCTCCGTCCCAATCCACTGCACATGGTACCTGCGGTCTGGCGATTGCAGCTCTGGAACACAACACCCGACAGCCGGCTTCGACATGGAGACATGGAGATAGACTTCCCAGCCCTCGGGAGGAGTCGAACCTACTACCGGCTTGGTGAGCTTTCTGCTTGAAGACATGTGTGGTGATTCGCCCCATGCAAGCCTCCCTTCGCAAACGACGTTTAACTGCAGGATGTAGGTTACTGGAACACAGGACTGGAAGAATGCATCTGAAGCACCACCGTAGGAGCCACGGTGCCAGGTAAGACAGGACAGAAGCAAATCTAAACGCAAAGCCCTAAACCCCAGAAACCTTTGAGCTGCCTGCACGCATGCACCGACCGTCCACCCCTCCTAAACTCCATCACGGACCAGCAACGGCAAACACGAGGATCCTAACTTCGGGGTTTGGTCTTTCGGTGCCATCAATGAACCCGAACCCCGAACCCGAAAAACCCCCATAAACCCTGCAACCCCCGTATGCCCTGTAAACACCATGGTATACGGCCCTGTAAACCCTTTTGAATCTCTGAACTCCCAGAGGGCACGTAGTAGTTTGTCGCGTTGTCTTTCTCCGCGGTGCCTTCCCAGGGATCCTCCTGAACCCTGTCGTAGAAAACCCAAACCCCTAAAATATAACCCAATTTGGTGTAGGGTTTATAGGGTCTAAAAAGTCCCCAAACCCTAAACCGCAAAACCCATATCCACATTCTCCACGCTCTTCGGGTGGAGGAGTTACGATTTCCAATATACTCTAAGCCCCACATGGATTATCCCTAGAAGCATCCATAAGCCCTGATCCACCGTGTCAAGTTTGGTTTGGGGTTCCCGAAACCTTTTGCCTAAACCCTAAACCCCACAGTAGGGTTTAGGATGTAGGGTAGGGCTTAGGGGTCTATAGACCCCTAAACCCTACATCCGAAACCCTAAACCCTGTATCCAAAACCCGATCTCCATAAGTAGCTCTGTAAACCAGACATGTTAGCCCTAAACCCTGCAAAGCCAATGCCTAACCGCCTAGCCCTGTACAGAATCCCTCTATCTATCTATCTATCTATCTATCTATCTATCTATATATATATATACACATACATATATATATGTATATATATATATATCCTCCCCCATCCTTTTCCGCCGCCCTAAACTTGCCTAAACTTAACCCTAAACCCTAAACATAAACTGAACCCTACACCCTAAACCCCTTTTCCGTGCCTTTGGGTCCAACGGACTCTGCCTCGGCCACGAGTCGCACGCGCTCGCGCGCGAAGAAGCGGAGGCTGGAGTTCGAGGTGACCTGGAGATCCAGCTCATACTGACCTAGGGTTTAGGGGTTTGGGGTTTAGGGGTTTGGGGTTTAGGGTTTGGAGTTTAGGGTTGGGGTTTAGGGTTTGGGGTTTCGAGTGCAGAAGCCCTTGTCCAGTCTGGTCTGGTCTATGTCTAGTAGAGGAGACCATGGTGAATTAATAACTGAAAACGGTTGCTTCTGTTGTCAGAGCAATGATAATTATCATAATTTCAATCATGACGGCTGTTAGGATGCCGTCAGGATCTAGAACCTATAAGGTTGGCAAGTTTGATATCGGGTTCACTGGTTCACGGAACTGCAATCTGCACGGTGACGAGGACGAGGAATGAGAGGATGGTGCGGAGAATTCAGAGGACTAGTGACTAGGACATTGTGCAAAGATGCCCGAGCCCCAACAGTGCCCCCGCACCCCTGCCGCATTGCCGAGTGGCGGGGCCGGCGATGATGTCTAAGTCGCCATCACGGTTCCAGTCCACGAACTTAAATGAGTGGCGCAGAAAGAGCTCTACTTGCGGGTTCAAGGCTGCCTACAAGTTGTGGTAAGCGGACTTTAAAAGTGAGTTGTTTCACACCATGACAATGCACTGCATGATCTTAAGCCCCCGGGGTCGTAGCGCTGAGACACAGTGAGGGTCTGCAAATCGATCTCCTTCCGCTGGAGGTCGTAGAAGGGGTTTAGGTGGCGCTCGCGCTGGACCAGCGTCCCCCGTGCGGTCCGGGTGAAGTACCGGAGGTTCTGACCGACGTACCTGCGATACGGATAACGACGAGCTGCATGATCTAAACTGCTAAAAATATCGAAAACGCCGCAACATCACAGAGAACCGACAACACAATGACAACAAAAAGAAGACGCATCCTCGCAGCCGAAGCGACAGCAACACCCACGACAACAACAATAACAGCCACAACAACAGCAACAACAGCAGTCACAACTACAACGGCGGCAACCACTGCAGCAGCAACAGCAGCAGCAGCAGCAGCAGCAGCAGCCGCAGCCGCAGCACCAGTGGCAGCGGCGGCGGCAGCAGCAACTGCAGACAAAGCAACAGCAGCAGCAACAACAACAATTACAGTACAAGTAGTAGTTGTCGTCGTAGAGTTGTCGTCGTAGAATGACCGTAGTAGTAGAAGGGTCTTGGCATCATCACAACCTTTGTGCCAAGGCACATGAAGTCCGCATCACCGTCTCCGTCCCAGTCGGCAGCATAGATGTGACAGGGCTCCCGCTGCATTGGCACCCGAAATCCTGCCAACCACATGTTCTGAATCCAAGGAAGGCGTTCGGCGGCGAAGCTATGCTCTGATGACCGGAGGTCGCAGGTAGTAAAAGTAGTAGTGATGACAAGGACAGTGGGTGGCAATAGTAACGTTCACGACAAGGAGACATCAACCGAACACCGAAGAGATGCCAATGAGAACAACCAACAACTTCATAACAACATCACCGTAATACTGGTACATAGGGACAGCAGCAAATCCTCAAGCAATCGCCCAAATAGGAGTAGTCGTCGTCATCGAAGTACCAGTGCAAGTGCTTTTTCAACCTTATCCAAAGCCCAAAGCCCAAGCTGCTACGAGTGCCTGCGAAAGGATTTGATGTGCCCGTCATCTCCTTGAGCTCCCCCGTCTCCACACCTCAACGCTCCGTTTTTCTGTCTCTGCGTCTCTGTGAATTTACAATGTCTGTCAGACGATGCCTAAAAGGGCGGAGGGTGCTTCAAGGGCTGAGGCTTGAGCGCTTGAAGCGTTATGGGGGGTTGTAGTTTACCATGTTACAAGATGGCACAAGGCCATAGCTTTTCACGACTATGCACTGCCACCTTGCTTAGTCTCCATCGCTCATCCACCCTCCACCTTGTTGGATCTTGCTGCTTTGCCTGAACATTATGGTTCACTACCACTCAGGATTCGATTTCGGATTGAAACAGGCATTTAATGTGCCGTCTGAGTCTGCCTCGCGTCTTTTACATCCAAGCAGACCCCCGGATTGGCAATGAGTTCGGGAGGCGAGGCGAGAATGCACGGGACTGCACAGAAGGCGGAACCAACCTAACCAGTCACGCTCAGAATATGCACGCCGTTGTGGCGGGAAGACAGGAGGTCCCAACACACACACACACAGAGAGACGCACAGACAGACACACACACACACACACGTGCGCGCGCGCATATGCCCTTAACCTGAAAAGCCCAAACATTTGAAACCCGAAACCTCAGGGCTACAGAGGGGCCTAAATATTTAGCAATACTATTCTCCGGGTTCCTTCTTATAATTCTAGTATAGTATCAAAGCCAAGACCCTAGTCTAATTCTTGAGGCCCCTGCAGTCAACTATAATAAGGAACCCCCAAAAACTAGTATTGATAACGATTATAAGGCCCCTAAGTAGTTCCTTTTTGGGACTACCTTATAGGATTCTAAGTATGAACCACAAAAAGGCACTACTGAGGGGCCTATGGGCATAAGGCCCCTAACGATTATGCAGAAGAGGGCTCGCTCGAAGAAGCGGAGCTTCACTCCGGGGTCTTCCCCACAGGAGATGATATCCAGGTCTCCGTCCCCATCCCAGTCCACGGCACTGAAACCGTAGGGCTCGGAGAGCTTCGCAAACCTCGCTGGAGACTGTCTTCCGGTGGAATGTTGAGGTTTAGGGGTCAAAAACCCTAGGCCCTACAGCATTGTGTAGAATGCACAGATTTGGGTTTAGGATTTGACCAGTTGGATCCTTGGGACTTTGACTTTTCTGTCGGCGGAAGATTGGCATGGGGTTCTGGCGCCGGGCTCTGACATTCAATGAAGCTTTCAGAGCATTTGGGTTTAGGGTTTAGGGGTTTAGGGTGCAGGCACAGGGCTGGATGGGTGTAGGGTGCAGGGATTAAGATGAAAGTAGGCTGAGAGCGGATCGAGATGTACAGGCATTCCCCCCTGTCCTTCTGAATCTGTTCGTCAAATCGATATCACGAGAATGGTACTCCATATCTTGAAGAGATTAGCTGTTCACTTCTTAGTTCCAGCTTCGGAAGGCACAGCCAGAAACCTAGGCAGTGTGTTTTCGGAAAGCTTCGGTATACCTGGGTGGGTGGCTTCTTCAGGCTGGGGGTTGCTGAAACTAAGAACTGCTCGAAAGACAGATGCAAGGAAGGACAGGGTTCGTGAGACTGGCCAAGTTGCACAGGTCCCTGGTAGTGCAGGGAATGCTCGCTGAGCCGGCTGTAGAAGTGCACCTGCCACTCAAGCGCTATACACACACACACACATCCTTCGAGGAATAACTACGAATATTGGCTCTACCACAGATTGCTTCAGCCGACATCATGCAGTTCAGTCTTCACAACCTTCTGCTATTTGCCTGCAACATCGGACAAACAATCATTGTGCATCAATCGGTCAAGGTCCCAAGCGATGGACATGCTACAGCCTTGGTCTTACTGGGACCCTCGTGGCAGAACAACAACCCCAGGAGTGGAAACCCGAGCCTGTCCATCGTCTGCACCCACAAGGAGATCGAGATCTCCATCCCCATCCCAGTCGACTATCCGGGGCACTGCGTGTCCTGCGAGACGCCCCTCATCAAGCAACAAAAACGGGACAACTCAACTGTAGACTGTAGACCCCTGTTTGGGCATGCACTCGTCGGTCCTGATGCATCCCCTGTCCCCTGGCTAAGTGTTACATGATTGCATGAGGACTTCTCATCCTATGCCTCTATTTGCGGGTCGACCCAGGCAGATGGTCCAGGTTGCAAGACAAACTGCTTACACTGATCTTGGCACAAAGCCTCTGTATACAATCAGGCAGGAACATGCACATGACGACGGGGAAGGCGATGGAGATATGACGGTGACAATACTGACCTTGTCATTGTTGATGCTGGTGTCGTGATGATGATGATGATGGTGGTGATTGAAGCACAAGGACATACTGCGTAACGGTGATGTTGTATTCCTAGCCATTCATGCAAGCCCTGCACGACCAAAGCACACTGCACCCCCGCATAGATGCAAGCCCCAAACTTCTGAGTCTGAAGGCCTCCGAAAGCCCAAACCGAAAACACTCCGAATCTAGCGCCAACTCGAAAGAAGGATCGATTTCCCTGGCTCCTGGCACCCGGACGGAGTGGAAGGAACTTTCCGGCCCGATCCGTTCTGTCAGAAGGCCTGATCCAAGGTTCTCGAAGTAGCGGAGGGTGCCGCCAGGAGCCCCCACCAGAATGTCAATATCCTGAGTTTGCGCATGTGCGGAATTGAATCGAAGTTGAGGTTGGGGGCTTGAAAAGTTTCGAGTGATGGCATCAAGGAATTGAACGAAGGCAGCTTACTCGCATGCTTTGTCAGCACCAGAATCCAACCCTAAACCCCAAACCCTCCACCCCAAACCCCACACCCTGAATCCAAAACCCTAAACCCTAAACCGCCCTAAATCCAAAGAGCCCAACGAACTCAAGATCTCCTTAGACATCTCCCCACATATCCCCGACATTTCAATCAGCCAAGGGACGCCATCGGAATCCCAGTCCGCTGCATCGTGGCTAGAGCCGGCTGGCAGCGGCACAGGACTGAAGCCCTCTCTCTCCTGTGTGGCTTCTAGTATAATGTAGGGGCCTTAATAATTCGAAGAGGGTTTTCGGTGGTATATTACATATATCATATAATCTTAATAAGGTTTTGTGTGTGGTATATTACATATACTTTTATAAATAGGATAAGGAACCCCCCCCAAATTTAGTGCAGGTAATTACTAAGGCCCCTAGCATTACTATCAGGGCCGTCTTGAGTTTTCTATACGGTCTCTAGCGTTTCCAGCATCAACTCCCTCTAAGGCTTCCTGTCACAGTTTGTAAGGGTTTTGAATTTTTCGGACTTCACGAGTTCATTTTTCCATTGGATGAAGGGTACCCTAGACGTAGTAAGCAGCGTGATAGTAAGAGTAGCCATATACAAGTTCAGGCTATAAGACTGCCATATGCTGTTGAAACTGCATTAACGACGAAGCATCCAACTGGAAGTGCCGCTAAAGTCCAACGTGGTAAGGCCGATGATGGCGCAAATGAAAGGATTATGATTATGAACACACAGATTCCAATGCATACTATGGTGATGATGCCCCGGAGATTAACCATGCGGATTAATGACAACGATGATGGTAATTATCCTCCTGGTGATGCTGCCACTGCAGCGACCCGTCAGTCTCGTCAGTGTTTCCATTGGCAGAGATTTGTTAGTCAAGTTCTGCATAGGCAGAGTTATTCGTGTGACACGCGAGTATCAGAGGCAACAATGCTGAAGTGCATGATACGTCCAGCTCGAACACATGTTGGACTATCTGCCGGATGCTCAGCAGCCTTTAGATCCCAGTTTGGCTGCTTATTTGTCTCGAGTTTGACTCCATCGTAAGTCTGGTGCGACCATGTTACAGCCTGTAGAATAATGGTCATACCGAGCGGCCACAAGCAGCACTTGGTTGCCGTAGCTGTGGCCAGGGAGCGGTGCACACCACGGTACATCTTCGCTGTCTGCAAAACGGCTGAGGACGAGGACCCAGAGCCACGGCAAAGCAAGGCTGCGCGGCCCAGCTGCCATGGGCCACGATGACAGCTCTGTCTTAAATTATGTGGAGGAAAATCCGCATGTCCAGGGATGCATCTTCGACCTATCTTGCGCTTTCATTGGGGGCCTTATAAGGGGGGTATACCTCAGCGTACAAGTGGCTGCGGGCGCAGATCCACAAGGCTTTCCGCCAAGAGACGACAACGTGACAATGATCTCGCCGGTTCAGCCTTCCAGTCCGTTTCCATGGCCGATGCGAGCAGACGCCAGTACTCCGACAGCGCTCTGAGGCCCATGCTGCAGATACCAATGTCATCGCAGGCGCGCAGTAGATTGGCCTCAGCTCTCTTCAGAGATGGCCATGCCAAGACGAGGGCTCCATGGCAGCACCAGCCAAGGCAAGACGGTCTGAAACTCTTCACGCGAGCAACAATACCTAGATAAGTTGTCGGCTGGGCATAAAGCAGTGAGTTCCCTCGCAGCTGTGCAAATAGCGAGGTTCAGCAACATGCCTGTAGTGCAGAAGATCCAAGCTTGCCGCCAACTTGTGGAAATGTGGTTTCGCCTGGTCCCGAGGGTCTATAGTGGCTTGGGAGCGGGAATACCAGCACCATCATGCAGCTCTGGTTCCTACAAAGCTCTTGACTTCGCCATCAAAAACCACAGTCTCGCAGTCTGTGCCTCCACGCATGGACCGCACCAGTCTGCGTACACATCCAGGAAGACGTCCCGGTCACTGTCGATGACAAGCTCCTGGCGGGCATACGGAGGTTGTTCCGGTTGGCGATGATCGACTAGTGTTGCACCATGTCTTCGGGAATGAGAATGAATTGCGAATTATCATGTTACTCCTTTAAAGTCATTTGAACAGTTTTGCCTCATGTGTTGAGCATCAGCAAACTACTCGTCGGCATCTTCGAAATCACCCGACTTTAGGAGAAATCTGAGATGACAAAGCTTCTTGGAAGCCAGCAGCTGCCACGAATATCCAATCTTATGGTTGTCACCTCTTAAACCGGCGCTTGAAAACTGATAACTGATGGTCGCACTCTTCAAAACAAGTCCAACACCGGATATATCAGCGTCAATGATCTGTCAACCACTGTTGTGAGCCCCATGGAGAGAACCAGAGTTCTCAAGCCCAGCAACCCCGCTACAAGGGGCCTTAGGCCTTTTAGCCTCTAGTTGGGAGTTTGGGATTGAGAACCAGAGTTCTCAAGCCCAGCAACCCCGCTATGAGGGGCCTTAGGCCTTTTGGGGTCTAGTTGGGAGTCTGGGGTTGAGGGACTCGTCTGCTTGCTTTTGACTTCGAAAGCCCGGGAGGCCTGGAAGGAGTCTGCCACCACCACGGTGAGACCTGGATGGTCCTGGTCCTTCAGATGACATTTGAGTAGTTCTCTAAAGTAGGGTCCCTTTGGGGGGTCCTTTTTATATGGGTGCCATACTATATTGGGGGCTTAAAAAGGGACCCTAATTTGGAAAACTACCCATTTGCATGGCTTGCGTGAGATACTCGAGGATACCGAGATGTAGTCTTGTTGCTTGCAGGAAAACGTCGTTGCGCTGTCGTCGCGATGCCTGTTCTTATCGCTTGCGTTGTCTACATGACAATACGTACCAACTACTAACTAGCTTGATACTAGTACTCGTGTTGTTGCTTGTATGGGTGTGGCCTTTCTTTCAACACCAAGAAAGAAAGAGTCCAACGATACTTGTTTCATAATTTGTGATATGATTTTGATTGCGACTGAATCGTGGCATCATTACAATTGATTGTCATGTCTCTCGGGTTGTGCAATAATGCTGCTGATGCTGCTGCCACCTGACAGTGTTGCTGTTGCTGCTGCTGCGAGTGCTGTTGTAGCCGCTGTGGAAGTAGTGACGGCGCTGGCTTTGGTGTGTGATGACCGGTGATTTCTCCGGTAGTAGCAGTACTTCAACACTGTCCAAGAGATAATCGGAGCTAAGAGCGAGAGTAGCGCAGAATTCATTTTCAACGATAGTCACAGTGACAACAATGGCAGCAGGTGTAGTAGCAGCAGCAGCAGCAGCAACAGCAAAAGCAATACCACTGAAACAGCAGGGGAAGAAGGAGCAGTAGCAGCATTCGTGGTACATGTAGTACTAGTGGTGGTGGTGGTCGTGCTGGTGGTGGTCGTAGTAGCAGCAGTTGCAGTAGCAGTAGCAGTCGTAGTCGCAGTCGAAGTCGTATTCCTCGTCGTCGTCGTAGCAGTGGTGGTGGTAGTAGCAGTAGCAGTAGCAGTAGCAGTAGCAATAGCAGTAGCAGTAGCAGTAGCAGTAGCAGTAGGAGTAGGAGGAGTAGTAGTAGTAGTAGTAGTAGGAGGAGGAGGAGGAGTAGTAGTAGTAGCAGCAGCAGCAGCAGGAGTAGTAGTAGTAGTAGTAGTTGTTGTTGTAGTTAGTAGCAGCAGTAGTAGTAGTAGTAGCAGTAGTAGTAGTAGTAGTAGTAATAGTAGCAGCAGCAGCAGCAGCAGCAGCAGTGGAGGCTTCAGCGGACCTTCTGAAATAGGCCGCATGTGGATAGCAACCGTCTCGCTGAAACATAGCCTCATCACCGGCACCGGGCAACCGTAATCGGCTCTGCAAGCACAAGCCCAGTCAAACCAAGTCAACGCCCCTCCTGAAACTGCAAGAAGCGATAGATCACACACACACACACAGACACCTGATGGAAGCTCCGGAAAGTCCCAAACCCCAGAACCCAAAGCCCTAAACCCGAAAACTATTGACCCTAGCGCTCCAGGCCCCTAAACCTTCACCCTAAACCCCAGACCCTAAACCCCTAAAGCCCTAAACCCTAAAAGCTAAACCCTAAACCCAAACCCTGCAGGGAGTCTTCGCGATTTCTGGGGGCCTTGTCATCCTTTGGTCTCGCTGCGCTGCTGGGCTTCGGGGCACCGCAGCTTGAGCAAACCAGCTTCTCCATGCGCCTTCGAGCAAGTTGTGATTCGTCTAAATAGCAGTATCTCTTTAAATAAATATAGATAAATAGATGCTTGTACATATATATACATATATATATATGTAGACACATATACATACATGTGTATATATATATACATGCATACATATTCTGCTGATTCTTACTGTTGCCTCCATGACTACTGAAACTGATATGTCATCTTATCTCAAGTATTGCCACTGTTGCATTTCAGGTTCCCGAGAGAAGGGCTCGCATGGATTTTTGATCTTGATCTGATGCCTGTAGGCACAACTGGTACCCGAGTGTTCGTGTAAGCGTGTCAACACTCCTAGCCTCTGCCGACATGTCTTACACCTGGAAGAAGAAATGTTAATCTTGATGTTACTGAGCATCTAGGCCCCACAAGCAACCGAACCCAACATTCTAAATCCTACACCCCAACCCACAACACTAGGGCCCCAACCTATGACCCTGAAACCTCCAAGCCCGAACCCTACATCCTAACCCAACTCATGCAAACACATAAGACTCAGACCCTAAGACGCATAGCCCATCAACACTACCCGAAACGCGATCCCCCAAACCTCAATTCCTCCGAGCCCTAAGCTCTGAAACCATCTAACTGAGGCTGGAGCTTACCGGGAGGATTGTGGTGCTTGCACTTCTTGCATTTCCAGACTCCTCGAGGCACCTCGGAAGGTCAGTCGAGATATGATATGGGCCCTCGAGGATATGATTGAGGATGCTGACTTCGTCCTTCAGGAACGGAGAGCCGGAAAACCGATCATACGACGAGCAAGCTTTAATCAAATATAGTAAGATCCAACCACACTTTGAATCTCGGTGGCGATTGCAAAGCTGATGTTGGCAACCCTTCCTTTCGCCGCGTTTTCCACACCTCTTGAATTCGGGTTCTGCACTCACTGTCTTCGGGTCATCAAGGCGCATGGGCACTTGCTTCGCTCCAGTATGTGTCGCTGCTTTGCCGAGCTGCGATGGCAACCTTGCCGCTGGAGAGGTCTTTCAGTAGGAACTTGGCCACTTCCTGGACTCCGTCCAAGATCTGTTGTCCCAGTTCTTGTTGTACTCGTCTTGCTCCTCCTCATCTTGCTTCCCGTGTCCCCAAGCATCCTTCGCCCAGGAGCTGGAGGGCGTGCTTTTTGAGGTCCAAGAGCTGCGCCAGTTGGTCTTCGGGGCCTCATGCTCTTGCCAAGAGCTCCGGCTCCAGGAACCACGCGGGTCGTCCTTGCCCTGGCCCTTCCAAGCCCAAGCTTGGTCTTCCTGGGAAACCGTCTGCGCGCCACTGCGCCAACTCTGCCACTCGTTGCCGGC